GCATCACTTCTGCAATGGCCCGCTACGCCCGTTGTCTCTGTGCCCGGCCCTTGGTGGAAGAGATTGAAAAGGGGATCGAGTCCAGGGTTGGGCCCATGGGCTGAACCCAATCCTCTACATGCGCCCGTCCCATAGCCACAAACCTCGTCAGCTCATGGTGAACTCGTCGCCCTCCCAGGTCCGTGCGTCCCACCTCTTCACCAGCCCCACAGCCGACATCGTCCTGCGCACCATGGACAACGTTGAGTTTAGCATGCACAAGGTCATCCTCGACCCCAAGGGGTGGAGATGCGACATTGCGCAGCGTTCTGATCCGTCGCAGCGTCGATCTCGAACTGCAAATATATCGCCCTGGACGGCCACAGTGTGGGGGCAGCTGGCATAGAATGAGCAACGTGTGGCGAGTGAGGCGGGGTCCGCCCGCCGGAACGCCCGCAGAACGCGCCTCGCGGTGTATGACCCGAGTCGAGGTGCCGGTTCCTGCGCTCGCTCCACACACGGGCCACCCCGAGACGCTGGGAAGTACAGAAGCAGAAGCAAAGGGCCGTCAAGAGCGAGAGAAGGCGCAGCCAAGCTTCCTTGTGGCGTTCCTCTCCTCGCGTTCCGTTCTACCATCCAGAGTGATACCGCGAACAGCTGAATTCCACGCAGAGGACATCCAGAGGTGTCATGGGTTTGGATGGGAGGCAGCCCCACCAGAAGGATGCTCCGACGAACAAGACAGGCTAGTTCATCAGCAGGGATGTCCGGATTGGAGGGGCATCCAGTGGGCCGCGAACAGGATGTTGTGTCGTCCGTGGGTCGCATCCAGCCCATCTGCCAGCCAGCCTGAATCCCACCGTGGTCCATGACGGGTCCCTTGGCAAGTCCGAGTGTGGAATCAGGTGACATTTGATTCGCTCCACCGGAAAAAAAGCCGCCCTGTCCTCGATCCCTCCGAGCCTGGCAATTGAAAAGCATCAACGCGAGTATTTATATTTATGTACACATGCCGACTAGATGCATACGGTAACGCCTATCTGCACGGCTCGGGTTGAAATCCAATGTGTAGACAAGGCGACAATTCGGTGTGGCAGAGTCTGCATGCCATATTCCGCATCATAAAGGCCTAATTGGCAGCTGGGAACATGCGGCCACTTGAGGAACGCCAAGGATCCTGAACGCGCAGGAGATGTTTTTCCAGACCCCACGTGATTGCAATCCTATCTACAATCTCAATCTCGCACCCCCAGACGCAGGCCCGCTTCCCCAGACGTCATAGGCTACGCTGAGTACGGTACACCGGCGGAGGCTTCTCAAGTCTCGAGGTAGCGAGTCGTTCAAAGTGAGCTTGTCTGCAACACCAATGAGGCTGACCCCCTCAGGGTGAACGTTTGACAGAGCTGTTGATCAGAAAGTCATAAGCTTCAAGGGCATAATACTGCAGCTGCGATACGATCGCGATGCATTTTAATTTCATACTAGCCTGGATATGGCAGACGGCTGCCGAGCCAAGACGTTGCTGGACGCGGGGTAAGATGGGGTAGATAAAAAATAATCCCGCAACAAGCGACCCACCTCTCGAGCCCCATGATGCGTCTGCTAGACCGCCACTATAACCATTTGCCGGCGCGGCCGAGCCAACTGCCACGAACCGAGCACTAGCGTCCTCGCTATAAAGCAGCCGCGTTGGAGGTCATCCTAGCTCCCTTTTCGTGCCCTACGTCCCTCCCTCCTCCCTCAATCACCCCGTTACAGAGAATCGGCACACGACATGCCGGCCTCAGATCTGGAAATGGGGGCCACGACCCCGCGGTCGACACTGTCTGAAGAAGAAAAGGGCCGCGCGTCCCACATCGAGAGCGACGTCTTTGACGAGAAACGAGGCCCCACGGTGTACAATCCCAACATTGACGTTTCCGCCGTTGACGAGCGCAAGTTGATGAGAAAACTCGACTGGCATCTGGTCCCGTGGCTGTCGTTCCTGTACTTGCTGAGCTTCTTGGACCGGACGAGCATCGGAAACGCCAAGGTGAGCTTGCCTAAGCCTAGAGACGTTGCCACTAACAGTGAGCTCGCGTTTTAGCTTTATGGAATGGAGACAGACCTGCACATTAGCGATCAGCAATATTTGATTGCCCTTACTCTCTTCTTCTTCCCTTACGCTATCTTTGAGGTAAGCACCTCATACAGTACAGTGCCATCCTTCCACGCTCACGCGCGTTCCAGGTCCCCTCGAACATATTCCTAAAACGGCTACGACCTTCAATATGGCTATCATTCCTCATGACGGCGTGGGGTATCATGATGGTGCGCATTGTTTTCGTCTTACAAGGCCCTCTCCACTTGACGGAAATTCCATTTCCAAAGACTATCCAAGGGCTCGTCCACAATTACGGAGGCTTGCTAGGTAAGCCATGTCCATGTGCGCTTGCGTACACCCGCACAACGACCGTGCGGCGGCATAGCGCTCATTCTTTCGTTCGAATTGGTAGGAGCGCGATGGATGTTGGGCACCTTTGAAGCTGGGCTGTATCCCGGCGTGAACTACTATCTCTCGTGGTAAGCCGGCAGAGCCCTACATCTCGAAATTGCCAAGATACTCACCCTGGCCGCAGTTGGTACAAGCGCTCCGAGTTCGGACTTCGTGCGGCAATCTTCTTCTCCGCAGCGACAGTTTCTGGTGCCTTCGGTGGCCTTCTCGCTGTAACCATAATTTCATCTTTTCCTGTCAATTTTCTCATGGAGTTTGCATGTTCAGGCGGCGATTTCCAACATGGGTGGCGTTGGTGGCAAACCTGCATGGGCATGGATCTTCATTATCGAGGGACTTGTGACCGTCGTAGCCGGCGTGATGTCGATCTGGATCATCCAGGATTTCCCAGACACCGCCAAATTCCTCACAGAAGCCGAGCGGACCGTGGTGATTCGCCGTCTCCAAGCTGATGACCAATTCAGTGCGGCTGGAGAGGCGTTGAAGCTCCGGTACATCTGGAAGAGTTTGTTCGACTGGAAAACGTGGCTGTCGAGTAGGTTGAGCGTCCCCAAGATGCCTTGTCGTTTAACATTATTGTTGCAGTGCTGGTGTACATGGGTTCGGATGGGCCGCTCTATGCATTCGCACTGTTTCTTCCTACCATCATCAACCAGGTCAGTTGGACGTATAGTACATTCGCAACATGAATCGCACTGACAGCATCTATTACAATGCACCATCTCAGCTCGGCTATACTGCAACTCCCGCAAATCTTCTCACTGTCCCCGTTTACGTCTGCGCATGTATTGTGACTTGCGGCGTGGGATTCGTCGCTGACAAGTATGGCGGGAGAGGATATCTCAACATGTAAGCATTCCCATGACGTACGAACACGGACGGCTATTTACTGTTCCTTTTCCACCTCAGCGGCTGTCTGATCGTGGGCGGGGCGGGTTACATTATCTTGATCGTCTCGAGAAACCCTGCCTTGTCATACTTTGCAGTGTATCTAGCGGCTTGTGGAATCTACCCGAGTATTCCGAACATCGTTGCGTGGGCATCCAACAACGTGGAAGGCTCCTATAAGCGGAGCGTGTCCCTTGCGATGGTCATCGGCTTCGGAAACATTAATGGCGCTGTATCATCGAACGTGGTCAGTATCACATCGATGCTTCTATCAGCCGGTCAACTGACGCCGTCCTTGCAGTATCGCTCAGAAGACGCGCCGTGGTACCGGATGGGTCACGGAATCGTCCTCGCGTACATCGGAATAGGCCTCATCTGTTCGGTATCGTATATTGTCCTCTTGAAAAGGGAGAATGCGAAGCGCGACAGAGGGGAACGAGACGAGATCATACAGGGCGTGAATGATGATCAAGTTCACTTGAGCAAGAACGGCACGTTCGCAAGCGTGGCGGAAGCCAAACGAGAGAAGGGAGATGAATGGAGCGGATATCGATACCGAATCTAGAGCACGATAGAACTCGCGTTCGCACTGATGTAATATGTCAGAAGCTGTACGATCACATGTAATTGACGAGCATACCACTCTGCCATATAGTTCCTGAGCGCGTCGAAGACCACGGCGTCTTGGGAGCCCCGGACGTTTCTTTGAAAGCTAGAATGTCTCCTCCGCTTGCCAGCATTTTGTATACAGAATCTGGTATCGTCCCCAGACGTGTTGTCTTCGACACGCCTGGGGACGAGACTAGCAGAATCCGAGTTCGGCCTTGATCCGCCTTCGGTGTTTGCCGCGAACACAAACACGGAGCTCAAGTTCAAGGTCTCTTCACAGTGACGAATGAACAGAACAGAGGAGCAATGGGGAGGAGCTATTCACAGGTCCGCATTGGCTCCATTTCATTCCATTGTTCACAGGATATCAAGAGACGCAAGTCAACTATGGAATGAGTTCAGCCAAGAGGAGTATGCCTGCAAAGGCGTGTTGAATGCAAATCTATTACTCGAATTCGATCTGAACTTCGAGCGAGACTAAACTCAAGTAATCTGACATAGATGGAGACCGCGGTTGGGCACGTACTTAGGCGTCCTCGGGGCTTTGTACCGCTCTATCTCCCTCGTGTGAGGATTGGCAGAATGATGCTTATGTCGAATCGCTGTCGAAAGTAGGATTGGGTGCCGAGGAACCGCTTAATCTCCATTCGGTATGGATCCTGTGCTGAGATGTGGCCTCGGCACACACGTGACCTGTTCACAACACCGTCAAATACGTGCCACTAGCGCGGTCACCAAACGAAAAGTTCCCTCCCCCGCAGTTCCCTTGCCACGATCGACGCGTCGTCCACCCATATCTATTCCTGCATACCCCCCAAAAGCCTTCGAGCACCTCACTTATACCTCTGTATTCATATCTAAAAAGACACTATGGGTCGCCCTCTCTTCTCCCAGACTCACCGCGCACCAGCCGTTCGCATCGAACCCGAACAGTCCCTCCCTGCCTGCGAAAAATGGTCATACTGGAACGCTTTCGACCCCGACTCAGACGAGTTTTTCGAACGCGGGGACGCCGTATACGAGGCATTCGTGGATCCAGCTCATGCATCCGCGGAAATCGGAGCGCAGATTGCCTTGGCGCCCCCGACGCTCATTGATGTGAGCACCAGCAGCAGCTCTAGCGAAGGCAGCTCCAGTGGTAGGCAGAGTCCCGCGGACGACCGCGAGGACCTTTCTGTTGAGGAGATCGACCTGGCGCTCAGGAGCCGGGGTGGCTGGGTTCAGCGCAGCCGCGCTGCAGACGATGAAGAAGGATCCCCCAACACTACTCAGACCACGTCTGATTATTCCAGACTTGAATCCCCGCGTACTCCCGTGGATGCCATGGACGTTATGCAGCGCCGTTGGGCTTCGCACATGGCTGATTCGTACACCAGAAATCGCACTGCCAGCAGCGCCTCTCCCCGTCCAGTTGGGCAACGCGCTCTGTCTCCCACTAGCCCCGACGAATCGCCACGCGTCTCCCGTCAAACGGATATGCTAGAGCCTGTGCGTCAGGTACTTCCCCTCACCTTTCCACATACGATCCCTGGAATCCCTCGTTCTCGTGGAATGCCTGCGCCACAACCTTCCACTCCCGATCGTCCCACGACCCCTCCCAGCCGATTTGCTGGATTCTACCAGTCCCCATCACCTCCGCCGTCTGTAACGCCACGCTTATACTCTTGGTCGGCGCGCAGCCCTATGCTGTCCACCCCGACTTCCCCGGTTCCTCCAGGCCCGCTCACCAACCGTAACGCTCGCCTTTCCGTGCCGCACATCTCACCTCCGCCGCCTCCCGTGCTTATGAACCGTGTTGTGGGATAGCTTTCGGATATCCGTGTGATGTTGCCCTATCTTATGAATGTTACTCGCCCACGTTCCCTACATGTTTTTCCATCCTCTTGGCTTCGATTGGGGTCTTCCGTGCTAGATCATAACAATATGCCTTTTTCATTGTAGCTCGTAGACTGTTTATACACAGTGCTTCCCGTATATTGTGGATGTCGATTGCGATATACGTTAAAAATGTGTTTTCGCCGTCATTTTAGATGCGATGGCTGTTCGCCTAGATATTCATCATAGCTTGGTCGTCTACATATTATCCTAGGATCGTACCCACGAGAACAATGTCTTGACTCTTGCTTGACTCTTCACACACACATGTGGGCTGGGAATTGGCAACAGTCATGGCAACGGGATGAAGTTCTCAAGTCGGATGGTTCGGAACATTCCGCTGAAGTGATCGTGGTGGCTCTGAAGGTTCTAAACAAACTGTTCTTTTGTGCTGCGACGGCAACAAATGTGGCGTCGCTCCTTGCATCGGTGAAAGATGCCTTAGACTGGCTCTCAGTAAGGACAGGTCATATTAATTCATCATCTTCCTAGGAACGACCGGTATCATTGAAATAGCGGCATGTACCTGTGACTCGAATCCTGCATGCGTTGTCATGTTGTTCTTCCACCGTACAGCCTCGTTGAAGACTACTAGCGATTGTCACACCAGGTTTGCACCGAAAGGCGTGTTGTTCGTGGTCTGTGTATGTATCAGACCGGACTTCCGAGCCTTGGTCAGAATTACAAAGGCAGTTCTACGTTTGCAGTACAAGTTCCGCAACATATGTCTGCAGACCTTCCGGCGCAACCCCGCCGTCCGTACAAGGCAGGCTCGCGGTGTTTTGGTACTACGACTACCAAGTACAGCCTTCACCATCCCATTATGATGCCGTAATTTTCATTCACCGCTCACCTATTATTCACTAACACTAGCTGATTAGAACCCTGTGTGTGCTCTCTGATGCCAGTGCCGCGGTAGATCGTTCTGGTTGGCAAAACGGATGCGGTACTTCAACTTCCGGACATTCCGTCAAACGCCTCTCGTTGGCTTTGTCTGTGGCCACGGGTCTCCCGCGTATAAAAGCGGCTGTCTGATCACACTACGCTTCAACATCTTCGCCCACCAAGAGCCACTCATGTCCACCACTCAATCAGCTCTGTCCACGCTCTTCTCTCCCAACCTCAGTATGAATACTACAGCTCCCGTAGAGCATAATAGAACAGCGATGTCTCATTCTGGGGCCTCAGGTTCAGAACTACTCTCGCTGCTCTATGGGCTTTTGTCGCTCTCTCCTCTCCCGGACTGGTTGAACTGGATGATCTTCAGCTCACTTGTGGATTCCTTTCGACACTTGTTATCTCGCTATTGGACTTCCCTCGAGAATTCGTTGTGGCTCACCGTCACGGTTGACAGTGGCGACGAATCATACCGTTTGTATTTTTGAACCTTCACATCTGGTCAATACTCATCGCTCTCCACAGGGTGGCTGATGTACTGGTTCTCGAGGAGGACGAATTGGGGTGAGTTCATTGGTGCATTTTAATATTCCTCTAGCTGACGTGCTCGACTCCAAAGGCAAGTCCAACAACATCGAAGTTAACACTCGACACTCCTGGGTCTACGATATATGTCGTCGAGAACAGGAAGAGCAATCTGCTCAGATTAAATATCAACCGATCGCCGATCAGGTCTACACCTTGTGGTATCATGGCCGTTATATGAAGGTTTCCAGAAAAATCATCAAAAGCGATCACAGCGAATCAGCGCAGCTGAAAATCAGGTAATACCCAACACATCTCTTCATCTGTGTTCTTGATAATGAATTCAAGCCAGAATTTTGAGTCGGGACCATTCAATTGTGGATAGTCTCTTAAAAGATGCTAGGAAACTATTTCGCGGTGAGCAGGACCGTACGACTAGCATTTACGTCTGGGATGGCGGGTTGGTTCATGTCGTTCTTCCCACTATCGTTCACTGAATGGTGTAGTGCCAGGAGAATGGGCGCATTCATCCACACAGACCCGTGGAGATGCATCGCTTCACGGCAGGGCCGCAGGCTACAAACTGTCATCCTCGATCACGGTATCAAAGAGATGCTCCTCACCGACTGCAAGAATTTTCTGAACAGTAAGCAATGGTATGCCGATCGAGGTGAGTTGTCCTCAATTACTCTGCCAAGTTTCTAACTTGTGTGTGCAACAAGGCATCCCTTTCCGCAGAGGGTATCTTCTGGTGAGTGGTATCTGCTCTTTAAGTAGCACCACGGTTGCTTAATCCGGTCATCAGTATGGTGCGCCTGGCTCTGGAAAGACCTCTCTCATTCAGGCTCTTGCAGGCGAATTGGGGCTAGATATATATATCATAACTCTTTCTAGGGCGGGACTCGACGATTGCGACCTTAGTTCCATGATGACCTCCTTACCGGGCAAGTGTATTGCCTTGATCGAAGACATAGACGCTGCGCTCCCTCAGACAGTTCTCAATCGTATCGTCCCTAACGCCGGTACTCAGTCCGAAGGGAAAACGCAGTCCGGGCAAGAAAGAAGCTGCCAAATTACTCTCAGCGGACTGCTGAATGCGCTCGACGGCATTGGTGCTCCGGAAGGACGAATACTTTTTGCTACCACGAATCACAGCACCGCGCTGGATGCCGCTCTGTGCCGTCCAGGTCGACTGGATCTCCACGTGGACATCAAGCTTGCAAGCAAGTTTCAAATTAGAGAGCTCTTCAAATCGTTCTATCATGCATATAGCGCCGAAGATGAACCTACCCGGCGGGAAGACGACAGAAAAGAGTTGGATTCCGCTCCCTTTACATCTCCTGGTGCCGACTCCGCAATCGAATGCTTGTCTTCCGATTCCGATACCCAGCAAGACAGAGTTTTTTCTGGATTTCTGCACTCCACAGAAGAATCTGTTCTTACAAAGGAAGATGCTTCAATACTCGCCGAGGAGTTTGCACAAGCCGTTCCGGAGCGGTCATTCTCCATGGCCGTTATTCAGGGCTTCCTCATGGCCTACAAGAGCACTCCACGCAGCGCAGTCGCCGAGGTATCCAGATTGGTAGACCTCAAACTCGCGAGAATTGAGATGACCGGGCCTACAAGTCCGAATATTCGAGAAGCGCATTCGCCTTCTTGTGCCGCTGAGTCGACGGAGACGGCCACCACTCAATCTCCGGACGTTCAGGTTGAATAATTGCCACATGTTTAGTCTATCCCTCTCTAGTTCACCCATAGGCTGTGATTATGCATGATTCCTGTGCCCGCGAATATGCAAGAGCATATCATCACACCATGTATTCACTATTATCAAATAATACAATCATGTGGCCTCTTCCTACACCTCAATGATTCGCTTCACTGCTCTGAGAATTAACCCAAGCGTGCATCCCACTGTCCTATGCATTCTGCCAACGACCAGTTCAGCGCCCCATTCTCCGAGGACTGAGTTTGATCGAATTTTATTGATAAAAGCAAAGTCCACGTATCTTCAGACTCGGGCCGTGGCAATCTTATAGGCTGCCGAGGCGGACGCGGGATGTAGGTCGCTGGTGCGGTCGGCGCTGCATGCCCCGTTATGGCTGCCATCGTTGGCCGCTCCAATGGACCTGTGCTTTAGCGGGCGGATGTACGTTAGTAAACGACTTCCAGAAGAATCAAGTTTTTCCATACAGAATAGTAGTAATAATACTTCGAACAAAGTTGACGGGCAGCAATCCAGTCCAGCGAAAATGGGTAATATCCGTCATACGAGAAGAAGACGGCGGATCGTACACCGCCACATACGGGTCAACTGTATCTTGCACTTGTAGACTGCAGTGTATTAACTCTTATCGGGTTTGTAATAAGTGAATATTCGATCGCTCACCGTTGCGCACCGAGACTAGCCATTCCAGCCCACTCAAGGAGCGACATCATTTCGCGTTCATAATCTTCATGTCCCTCTCCCTCAGGCCATGGCTGGAGAATGGGTTCAGGAGCATGTATATCTGAGTAATCCTTGACCACGGCTTCCACAATGCGCTCCGAAGACACGACAGAGAATCGTGAGTAAACACCTTGTAAGTTGAATAGTTTGGCGGCCGGATCAACAAAGTCCAAGCGAGGGCATTCGGGCGGACCATACCTGGATCCGAGATGCAATATAATATCGACCAATCCCCCCTACTAGTATCCCATCTCCGCACAGCGTTCTCCACCCTGGCATCATAAGAATTCAAATTGGTCATGGGAGCATCTGTGCCTTCTTCGCCAAGCCGGATGTGGATTACTAGGATAATTAGATCCGGGGGATCAGCTCTGGTGCTTCTCATCGATTCATGCGAGAATGTCGAAGCAAGACGGAGTCGACTCACTGTATGTATCTTCGCACCCTTTCCAAGGCAATCGTTTACCAACAACCCCAAGTCGCTGATATGTTGTTTTGCCGACCGCTAGCGTCAGGATTCCACGAGAATCAATACTCCATACATCGGTACTGGTCACATCATCCGCCAAGCCCATGGCAAGAATGTCGCTACCAATGAGTAAGAGCATATTGAGCGTGTATTCGTGTCATTATATGTTTGGCGCACTCACCACACAGGCACGGACAAATCCACACATGCTTTTACGCTATTTATGAACGAGCGCAAAGGAGCTTTGCAAACCGAGTATCTTGTCCGGAGATTGTGCAAAACAGAGACTACTGGCTCTGACGAAGCGATGACAACGTCCATCTGATTTTTGATCGAAATTCCGAGATTCCGGTATCAAATTTGGTCAACTGCCAATGGCTTACCTGCTGAATGAAAGGATGTGACATGGCCAAATTATCAATTTTAGGGTCTAGCCTTGCGTTCCGTTCATGTGATCCCTGTGAGAGGATCATGCGCCGTGTTGTTAAAGGTGGGCAAAACATGGTGTGGGATGGCAGAAAGGAAATAAACATTGAAGTCCATTGCGTGTCTCTTCCGAGAAACGACTCGTCCAGCCACTCAGGAGGTGCCACCGTACACGTGATATCCCAATCCAGATCCTCTCCAGACGCCCACGATAGAGTCATACAGCGGCATGAACGTTGCCATCGACTCAGAGTTTTCATGAGAATTACTCTTCAGCTCGAACACAGGTTTGTCTTGTTTTCTTGACTAGTCTCAAGTTCCCGGTTCTAACTCACTCGACTTCACATCTCGCCTCCAGATAAGCCTCCAGATAAATCAGGATGCCACAGAAGAAGCTCGTCGTTGACTCCAAACAAGCGCGTCGTCAATTTGCCCAATGCCAACAATGTGAGTAAACTAGCCTGAGATACACAAGTTATCATGCTCACGCTCTGTTGTATATGCAGGTCATAAAGCCAGGGATGAAGCTGACAAGCTTTTCACTTGTACCGGCTGCAAGGTGGCAACCTACTGTGAGCATTATCTATGGGAACCAATCACTTTCGCCTTCATTCCCCGATGGCACTTTTTCATCAGTGCCAAAAGTGCCAACGGGAACACTGGCCGGTACATAAACGTGGATGCCACATCAACCGCGCGCAGCGCTCTCATTTGGAGAACCTTGACAACCAGGTCATCTCTCGGGTGCTGGCTTCCACGAGCGGAGACTCCGATGTTGCTAGCATCATCTCTGTGCATCCTTTGCCTAGTGCTTTGAAGCAGGAGCTGCATGGGTTCACTGCTAATTTCAGGCCTCTTCTATTCCAAGCCGCATACAATGCGATCCAGGTTGCGAGATATTCCATGGGTTGGACTCAGATGACATTAGGCGTGTTTCTGGAACGCATGCCTAATTGCCCACCTGACTCTCGCCCGTGGTCTCGCTTCCGCGTGACCACAGCTGAACCCGTTCCCGTATTAGCGCTAGTGATGATGCACGGCATGGAGAACTTTGAGGACGTGCTACGACAGAAGGAAGCCCAGGAACGCATTGACCAAGCAAATGGCCATCTTGGTACTCTCACGATCGTAATAACCTGTCGCTGTGTGGGCCCAACCCCACCCTTGGTCATGCATAACTTGACGTGGACCGCATTTGGGTCTCATTCAAGAGATGAGTTAGAGATCTCGGATAATTGGAGAGAGACGCTCATAGACACTGTGGAGAGGATGTGCGAACGTACACCAGGAGCGACATTGGACCTCGTCGATGAAGCGTCAGGACCACCGTCTCAATGATGGGTAGATGTCCTAATTGAGGTCTACCGCAGTGGAGAAGACGGTCACTATGAGATGCTCTTTGCTTGGTGACGGTAAGTAGGGCATGTTGTACGTATCACTCTTGCCACCATGCTGGCCGCTAGGTCGCCATGCATTATTTGACCGCATCACAATTGTCTCATGCTAATCACTCTCATGTGGTCCAGTGTACAACATAACAGCAGCCTTAGAAGCTATATGCATTACTGAATTGGTGCTACAAAACACGAGAGCAAATGGTACATACACGCATGTCGAGGGCGACGTGAAACTCGAGTACGCTACAAATGATTATCATGTGGGATACATATATACCTGCTCCTGGTTGTTTTGAACCACTGCATCCCTGCATACCTCCGCTTTCCAGCCGATTGCTCGCGTCATATCATAACGAAGGATGAGATCCATCCCGCCTTGTGGTACGAGCTTTCCGTGCTTCTCGCTCCTTCTCCACCCACGCCGGTGCGTCTGTAATAGCATCTTCAGGGCGTGTTTTATACATCATTAGATAACCTTGCAAGCTGGCCATAGAAAACTCGCGATCAGGGATGGCACCCGCGAAACGTTTCCCCAGCTCGACTGCTCTTCGCCGTGAAAGGACCCCGCTTTTTGGATGTGCGGTAGTCGTCACCACCTTCTCCGGAGGAAGAGCGGTGGCGGAGATGGAAGTCGTGAGTAGATTGGATTCACTGCGGGATGCGGAGTCGAGATCGGAGGAATTACGCCGGGATGACTGGCTCAAGTCAATCTTCTCGTCATCGGTGTGTTCCGAATTGTCTTCATCGACAGCGTCGTGCTTCCCGGGTGAATAAAAGCATCTGAAGAGTTGCTCTACCTGGTATTTACTTGACAGCTTGAACTCTATGTGCAGGTCCATTCGACCCGGTCGACAAAGTGCGGGATCGAGGGCATTATAATCGTTAGTCGTGGCGAACAGAATGCGTCCCTCTTGGGCGCAAAGACCATCGAGGGCGTTGAGCAGACCACTCAGAGTGATACCAGTGTCGGAAGTCCCATCCGATTTTTCGTCAGGTCTATTTGATTCTGGTATAGGCTCCTGTTGGCCGTCGGGGATGGCACGGCGCCGAATGCCTCTCTGGAAGGCAGCATCGACGTCCTCCATAAGAACTATACAACGGCGAGGAAGGTTGGAGATAAGCTCGCTGAGCGAGCCGTCGTTCATCCCTGAACGCGAGAATGTTAGGACGTAGACATCCAGACCAAGCTCGCCTGCTATACTATGAATCATCGAGGTCTTGCCGGCGCCGGGTACACCATACTGTATCACAAGGTAGGTTCAGCATGATACGACGAGCTCCAAAGTGGCACACATACCAGAAGATACCCTCGGCGGAAAGGAATTCCTATGTGTACGATCAGAAACTGCAATGCATGCGTGCACAAGAAGCCACAAACAGCTGACCTCTCTCAAAGTACCATTCTTGACTATCTAGAAAGTCACGAGCATCATCTATCAGCATTTCTTTGATGCCAGGATCGAGGATAATAGAGTTCAAGGGACGTTTGGGGCGTGAAGTAACATGCGTCCAATCACTGTGCCTAATCGCCAAAAACTCTAATATCAGCTGGTCTCTGAATTTGCAGCAGCGATTCACTTACATGTCAGACATATAAATGGAGATGAACTGCTCGCCGGCAGCCTTATAAGCAGTCCTGGCATCCGTTAGAAGCTGATCTAGGATTGCTTTATCTCGACTGAAGATGCTAGTAGGCAGACAGCTATCAGTCTTCTTCACTTCACTTGATCAGAGTGGTTTGTTCTCACCTAATCTTGAGGGTATATTTTCTCTGATAATATCCTTCGGCAGACTCGGTCCGCGATATTGTTAGATATCGCCCCTTGTACCACAGCGAGTAGTCGACCATGATACTCGGAATATACGATATAGGCCGATCTGTATCCTCATCTTCCTCATTGGAGAAATAGGCTTGTCGTGAGTCAGGACCTAGGTTGCTTGTGGTCACTTCAACACGCGTCGCGTTGTCTAGATTGTCACGTCAGAAAAATAACACGAGCCAACGCGTTGAAATACACACTCCACGAGGGCTGCTTGGAAATCCAAAATAAGATCCAGGCTGAAAAATATGGTAATCAATGCAATGCTCCGTCGATTTTGGAGGGTTCGGGATACTCGCCATACCCACAGTCGTTGCTATCTACCGATGCGGTGATCCAGAACGACTTTAGAAGCCACTCCCAGATGTCGAAGAAGCTCCGACGACATAACTCGACACTTCCGCCTATAACGGCGAGCTTGAGCCAATCGCTCACGCCTGTAGCCGAAAGAATGCCAAAGAGCAGAGAGGACACGTCTGCTGATGCCGATACGTGAGGTGTGGATGTCGCGTTAACTTGGTTTGACAGTAATGAGGGGATGAGATGTTGCATCTCAGGGCTCATCCGACCGGAGAAGTTGAGGGATGGACGGACGAAGGCGAGGGTCTTATATACTGCAATCTGGCAGTAGTCGCCCCGAAGGACATATCTGCTATGTGCAAGATTAGTCAATCATGACTCAAAACTTCGGAAATATAGTATTTTGGATGGCATGTAATGTTTTTGAAAAACTGTTTGCCTAAGAACGGTGAGCGCTAGTTCGACGTAGGAACTGGACTCAGATTGCTACTAACCAGTAGTGTGCAAGATTGGCAGGCTTGGCCCAGGCTCGAACATCGAGATTACAATGCCTATAGAGACCACCACGCGCAAAGCTCGAGCTTGACGGTAAACCGTGTTCTAGGGCTACGAAGCACTGGCAGCGCTCGACCCAGCCGCTAAGGCGGCGGTGACTGCTGACTCCTGAGACAACAAGTGACGGCCCCGACCAGCGTACCGGTAATTCGACTCATCACAGCGCATTAAATGGAGGCTGCGATACGAGTCAGACCTAAGCCATGACCATGAAGTGAAGCTTTCAAGTACTATTTGAACGAGTGCACAAGTAATGTGGCGGTGCAGTCGGACCCGAAGCTCGGCGGTGTCGTGCAGTAAAACGTGGGAAAACGCCAGATCGACTCCCCTTCACTCCCCTTGACTCCAGTCTCCTGCTGTGCACCAGACTTGGCTGCTACCAATACCATTCTGTAGTCTGACCCCTGTCTCCTGCGCACCTCGTTGGCTGAGCGTTCTGCATTGAGCCCACCAAACCTGCATCACAGCTGAGGTGTCCGGGAACACCGCCCTGTCGGTAGTCGCAGCCTCAGACCCTGAATAGTCAGGCCAAGGCTCACCAAACTTTTGGAAGAGATATTAATCTGACCCTTTGTGTCTAATCTATTCCAACACCTGGCATGGGAATGTCCGGAGAAGTTTCTCGCAAGATTCCTCTCGATCTGACGCATGTTCTATGTGCGTACGGTAGTAGCATTTTCCTCATTCGAGTCGCTCATAACCCCTAGTTTTTTTGAACAGATGATGATTCCTCTACCACGTCTCATATTCTCGCCTTGCTCACATTAAGTCCGATCCTGATCAACGTAAGTGGTTTAGTGGCTCACGTTCCGTTTGTTTTTCCTGAACTGATTCCGTACCTGAACTAGCCAGCATATGCCGTCCTCACAGTTCAAACGCGTGAACTGTTTTTTGCCGAAATGTGGGCAGGCCAAATGTTCTGCGAAGCCTTCAATTGGGTATTGAAGCAGATTGTTCGGGAGGATCGTCCTCATGGTGAGCCTCATGATTTTACTTTCTCTCTAAGCGGCCTTTGGCTAGGCAGCAGACCACTTCCATTTGACAATGTGTAAAGTGGTTTGATCCAGCACGGTGGTTCAGTACACGCCCTGCACATACGTTGTCAAACATTCATGCTAGATGAGTCTAGACATCGTTAATCTGTCGCATCGACTAAAATGTAAAGGCTCTTACGGAAGAACTCACTCCTACTCTTCTACTTTTCTAGATGCTATGGGAGACGGCTTCGGATTCCCCTCATCGCATAGCCAGTGGATGGGGTACTTCTCCACCTTTCTCATATGCCATATCTGCTTTAGACATAGATTTGCCACAACCGGCTCGGGATTTTTCGATCTTATGTGGAAAACTACCGTGTATTTGGGTTTGGTGACATGGGCCATCGCGGTGGCGTTCTCTCGGTACGTCTGGTCCCGACTACTCGGCCTTGGAAGTCTGGAAACATGCTAATCGAACCTATAATAATACAGCTACTATCTCTCGTACCACACTGCAAGTCAGGTGCTCTGGGGCTTGTCGATTGGCGTTCTATTCGGAGGTAGTTATTACGCCTTGGTCGAAATCATACCGGCTCGATATCCGGATTCTTTCGTAGGACGGGCTAGAGTCGCCGTCTTGTCAAACCCAGTAAGCATATGGTTCAGAATCAGGGATGGCTGGTCTGTATGGGAGGATGGAGGGGCTGAGATACAGTGGTCGCGCTGGAGAGATGAGTGGATTCGAGCTTCGCAAGGTCGAAAGTCTGAATGAGTATGCTCGAGGCTGATGGTGCCACAAACGCGCGTGGATGCCTGTACGGTCAGGACGAGCTCGAGGCTGTATGAACCAGGCTCATTAATCTGAATTCGCGTAATCTGCGTAGTGACCCTCTTCTCTGGTGACATGGTCGAAGGACATATATATGTTTGATGTAGATTGCTGTACCTGTTCGTGTGACCTGGATTTCAGGTTTTGAGAGTGAGTCCCTGTTTAGGAAATTTTTTGGACACTCAAGAAGACACGATCACGTGCGAGTCAATCTTCGATGATCTCAGACTTGAGTTCCGATCGCAGATCTAAAGCATTGAGATTTCTTGCTGGGTGGCTGAGTTGTGGCCTGACTCATGCCACCATGGTCGACGTATCTTTCTCGGCTCCTAGTGTTCGACGTCTCTAGTCACTTATTTAACGCGCATACTCTGTCCTATGCTATTTCTTATGCCTGGTCACCACTCTTTCAGGCTACCTTTTCGCCACATTCCGAGAACGATGTCAACTTTTACGGAATTGCCTCCGTCTTCTGTTCCAGTCTTCACTACCTTAGCTTCGTATAGGGAATGGAGACAAAATGTGTTTGATCAGAAGAAGTCCGTAGGATTTGTCGCTACGATGGGTGCTCTGCACGAGGGACACCTCTCCCTGGGTATGTGTCGATCATCCATACCACCATAATGGCAAAAACTGACTCCTCTGTATTCGCAGTAAGGAAATCATTAGCAGCGAACGATCTCACGGTCCTGTCTATATTCGTGAATCCGGCGCAATTTGCGCCGCACGAAGATCTTACGACATACCCTCGCACTCTACCACGCGACCTTGAACTTCTGTCCTCCATATCTCTTTCTGTCCTGGTGCCCGGAACCGTTGAGGAGATCGTCCGCACTCCTTCTGCTGTATTTCTTCCTTCGGTTCCAGAGATGTACCCGTCAGGGATTTCGCAGGACGTCTCGGAACAGAAGGGGACGTTCGTCGAAGTGAGGGGCTATGGCCATCAAATGGAAGGCAAGAGTCGACCGAATTTTTTCCGTGGAGTGGCCACGGTCGTGACTAAACTGTTCAATGCTGTCGAGGTAAGGAAATGGCTTGCTGGAATGTGAACGAGCCACTCAGCCTATTTAGCCGACACGGACGTATTTCGGGCAAAAAGACATTCAACAAGCACTGCTTCTGCGTCGGATGACACGGGATACCCTCCTTTCGCATCCGTCTCCAGAGAATCTTCACATTGTACCCACCGCTCGGTAAGTTCTCCCTTCATACCCTATTCCTTACTTTCGGTTGAATTGCCCTATCAGAGACCCTGTCACGTCACTGGCGCTTTCCTCCCGCAATACCTACCTGACGCCTCGCGAACGCGAACTTGCAGCGCCTGCCCTGTATGCAGCGCTCATGGTGGCTCAAAGCGCATGGAGTTCCGGAGACAACATCGACACATGTATTCAACGAGCCAGACAAGTCATCTCCGAGACTGAGACGCGATTGAATTCCGGTCAACACGAGAAGATTGACATGAAACTAGACTATATCGAAATGAATGATCCTGAAACATTCAATTTACTTTCGGGAGTTACTACCAAGGCTCAATGGGAAGCTGAAAAAGATGAAGGCAGGGCTGTCGTATTAAGTGGGGCAATGTGGGTGGGGAAGACGAGGTTGATTGACAATGTAATATTAGGCGATCCGCGGCGGTTGGGCATTGTGGACTGAACCACATGCGTGAGGTGCGAACGCAACCTCCGAATGTCACACACATGGCACTGGTGGTCATGAAGAGGAATGATGCATAACGGTCGCATCAAGCCACAGGATCGAGTATCTTTCGTGTCTAGTATAGATGTGATGATGATTTGGTTGCTTACGCGTTCAATCCCGAAAGCGGATATGAGGTGTCTTGTGTCGGAGGGACACTTGTCCTCGGCGTTCTGTTTCAGTGAAGCTGAAATTTTCTTATGACTCAGGGCGCTTCAGAAACTGAACGCATCGACTTTGTGACGACATTGGTAATGCCAAGATTCAGTATGCACTCTCTGGAACATTGAGTTGCTTAGAATTCCATCTCTACGTGGTTCTCAGTCACACACACACAGGGCAACGACTGAATTATCTCAGTGCCACAAAGTTTCCAACTCGGATTTTTTTTGGCGCTAATCATTAATGCAACCACCAACACAGCATCACTCGACTTAATCGAATGATCCTCTCGCGCAAAGGGCTGGTTCCGCTCTGTAGCCTAGGTCAATTGCGTGCCATCTGCCATACCACGCATCGTGTGGCGGCGCCGGCATGGTGCTGATTTGCTCTTGAGATCTTCTTACCACCGGTGGTGCTTGTGGCATTTAGGGAGGTTCAAAGTTGATACAGCTAGGCTCGCAGAAAGTTCCGCGGCGCAGATGCGGATTTAGGTGCTATGTCTCCTGTTTATCTATCTCAGATATACGATTGCGACATTTCATAACACAACTAGAACCTTAACTTCTGCACGATACGATGCCTAACCAACCACTGCACGATATGTACATTCACTCATATGTGCTGTTCGTTGCCCTCTGAGAAGCATTCACGCCACTCGAGTCTCGAAGCAGTACATCAACAGCTTAACATCGATATTGAGGAACTTGAGGTGATCAGGACAGCTCGATACTTGCGTGAACGTGAGCGTATTTTACACCTCGGAAATCGCAGTGCTATTCTTCCTTTTCTGAGTTGCTATGACAAGAAACGAGCACTACAGCCAAGTTCGCAAGTGCGATTTCTCTAAGGAGGTCGATGACGTAAGTTACATGCCAAGGGTCACACCGGGGTCACAGGAAAGTCACTATCACCGCATCTTCAACGTTCAACTCGCAGTTCCAGAAACTCGCATTTTCTTTGGCGCCCAAAACCGCAGATGCGCTCGCAGAACTTTCTGCGAGCCCCGCTGTGTCAACGTTTCAGCTTTGAACGCCCTTATTGTTTGTAGATGTTCTGGTGCGAGAAGACACAGTACATAGACAGTCTCACCTGCAGGATGTGCTTTTTAACCAAACCTCAGGCCCCTTCAAGTGAGCTGAGGACTCGGGAAACTCATCTCCACAGATTGAATCTGTCGCTCGGGATTTAAAGAGAGCGTGAGGTGGAATCGTGCTGCCTGTGCATCTCAGTGTATGATTCAGGTCTCCTTCGCTATATAATGGCCTTCGAGCTCAACACCGATAAGCTCTAATACATCTAGTGTCCAGTGAAAATGACGTTTGGTGCAAACACACTAGCACTTGCGCTTCGGCAAATGTGAGTCTTCGATCGCATTACACTGTGCCCTTCTATAATATACGTTTAGTGCTGTAGAAGATTATTGTACCGAGGCAGCTGCTAGTACATTGCTTTCACTCATACATTCATTTATAATCTCTGATAGTTTTCAATTCAATCTTTAGCGTTGATAATTTACGAGTATTTTTGTACACTCTCCCAGGAAGTCCGCTGCATGTGGAGCAAGAAGTTTTCGATCGTTTCTGTGCTGTTCTTTGTCAACCGTTACGCACTCTTAATTTGGGCTGCATTAAACAGTCCGCCTATGACTACATACATCACCATCAAAGTAAGATGTTGCTCTAGTCAATATCTGTAGGTGTGGTACTGATATTGATTTGTAGAGGTAATGCCTTGTCGCATCCGAATATCACATCCGCACATAACTATGTTTGCACATCCGCAGCTGCATCGCCGTAAATGTATTGATCTACATTTGCGACATATTGCTATCCATTTCATGGGCAGGTAAGACCTACGATTTCTTTCCTACCAATAACACTACATCAAGGCGACGCAGTGTTCATCGCATTCCGTGTGTATACTCTTAGCAATCGAAGCTGGTTCCTCGCTTTGCCCACGCTAGTTTTTGGGCTGGTCCCACTCGGCGCGAATTTGGCAAGTGAAGTCGGTTCTTGAAACGTGTTCTAGACTTACAATCAGACAGTTCCAGCTAAGCAGAACAATATATACCTTGGAGGACGTTCCTTATATTGGCACATTCTGTGTGGCTCAAGCAATGAACATATCTATCAACGTCATGTTCGAGTACGTCAGTCATGCTTGCATAGACATAGACCGTACCTGACGTCGCTATCACAGACGTATTGTGTTCTCCCTACGTCACTGAGTATTTGCACACTAATGATATCATTAGTTAGCATTACGACTCGTGGTTTCGCAATAGCGTCTGATTTGATTGCACTGGCGGTAACGTGGTTTCGGCATCACGAGTTGATGAGATATGAGGCCGTGGTCAGTAAATCTACAATCATGACAGTTCTAGTCCGAAATGGTGCGTATTATATTGTCATGTGTTGTGTCCTGTTACATTCATATACTGACACTTTGCATATCAGGAACGTTATATTTCTTGTAAGCCCAGTTGTGCTTCTCGAGAGTCAGGTGTTGAGTGACCAATATTGCAGTATAACGTTCTTTCTAAATGTGTTAGACTTATCACTGTTCCTCAGTACAGTAAGTCCATTCTGCAGTCAATTGCTCAAAGTTCTTAACGCGCATCTCATGATGGCTCCGCAGACTAGCGAAACAATCACTGGATCGTTCATAAACCCGTTCGTTCAGCTTTTAACACTCAGAACTAAATCTGACTTTCTTCGCACAGGATTGGATCTATTATTATCTCCCGATTCGTTCTCGACTTGCGCGAAGTTGGACTTTCGATGAACTCGGGCTCCGAGGAACAAGCTACTATCGGGGACATGGAATTCACAACGCAATTCGATCTACCCATTTCCTCCTCTTCGCTTCCATTGTAGATATTCACGAGTTTGACAACGAAAACAGCGAAGTCTGAGGTGAAGATCTCAGTTGAACCCATATTTCACTGCTCTCGTTCGATCCGATATCTTGGTAGTTAAGAAAAACCAGGAAGCTGGGGAACTGTGTAGTCGTTCCGTTTCAATGTACGCTGTTCTTATTACGTTTGCTACACAAGTACATTCTCGTACTCGTAATATGTAATTAGACTATATGCGAAGGTTGTCCAACAAGCCAACTTCTTCCTAGGTCGAGATACGTGCCTCGATCCCCTACCCTAGGCCTCTAGCCCCAACTTGTGCTTGCAGAAACCTTGAACGCTTGCTCTGCTTTGAATTTTGTGTCACATACTTTGCTCAAACAAATGCTTTGAGGTTCGTTTGCCGCGGCTGGGAACTCAATTTTCTCAGAACCGGATGTCTCCGAACGACTCCGAAATGCGCGCCGCGTCCGTGGACCTCGTCCGTCTTGAACACTCTGCAGACATTTATCTTACGTGCATATCCTGTTCACCGAAATCGTATTGAAGTGTTGTATACACTTCGTGACATATAATCTCGACCATTTGGAACCTCGAAAGACATCACCTCCAGCCGCCTGAAAGGACCCAGCCGTCCTCCGCCGTGACGTCGCTCCCACCATTATGAACTAGCACGTCTGAATCATATTTCGGCGTATTCGACGTTCAGATCAAGGTCTGTATGACAAGTTCAACAAAAAATGATATAAATATAGGACCCGCAGCGGTTCAAACGTACCAGCGGAGTGTAAGCGGCTTATCTGCCTGTCAAGTGGACGTGGTCATCACACTGTTACACACAGTGGGTTGTAGATGTGTCGCGATCCTACTCACTGATCACTGGGCATGTCCTCGCGGCCGACGACGGCAGGTGTGTCTGGGTCGACAGCATCAAGAGCGACTGTGCGAGTATGTAGCCGTCAGAATACATGGTCGACTATCAGGGTACCATTCACAGTGGCTACATACCACTCAGATGTGGGTTCAAAATTTTGAAGTTCCTGTAGGGCACCTCAGGTGAGTCTATCAACACACTTATACCAAGGCTAACAAGGTATCTACCTATGTGCGATGCCCAAACCTTTAGTGCCTTCTCGTATAGGCGTGGAGATAGCAAAATTAATGAGCGAGAACAGACACACTAAGGTGAGCAGCATGAAGCGCGCCAACATGATGAACATTATGCGTCTGCTGAGCTTTGTGTGTGACCAGGCAAAGTGAACGGGCACTACTGAAGAGGGAGACGGCCGAGTCTATATACGAGACCGAGGTGGTAAACCATTCAATTAGGACCGTTACCCTGAATTCACGAGCTGGCTGTCTGGGTGACCGTTGCTTTCCTGGCCACAACCACACAACCGCCATGGTTGACGCCGAGCAAGACCCCAATGGGCATTTAAGCTTGACGGTAAACTCTTACTACAAGCGGACTGGTACGAGAAATTCGTTGTATCCGGGCCTAGACATCGGAAAACGATCGGGGTAACGACAAAGATTTAGTGCTGACAACGGAGAAAACATTCCGCCTAAGACACCAGGACACAAACCATTCATGACAACGACAACAACGGAAGAATGATCGAAAACAGGAGACGGAGACGGATTAAGCGAGATATCTCCATGGGGCGGTAAACATAGAACCACGCGCCAACACCACTATCCACGCGATTTACCTTGAGGACGACGACTTCCGGGCTACATCAAAATGACACACAAAAGGCCTACAGCCGCATTCCAATGCTTTGCAGAATCGCAAACCAGCTCCCCTTGCCGACATTTGCCCCGAAGAACGTGCTCTGTGCCCAAGCAGCAAAGGATCCTAATCCCATGTCCCCACGTGAGGTTAGGTTCACAGATGCTTGAGCACACAAGCGTGAGGCTGCCTCAGAAGTATTAACACACCTTCGGTGGGGCCCAGCAATCCGAAGCCTAGCAGTCTCAAGAAGGGCCGAAGAATGAGTGGTCTAACCAGTAGTGCTAGAACCGCGGAGATTACAATGCTCGAGAGGACTGGATGCTGTTCCGTAATATCTCCTGTCAAATTGAACAGTGTGGCCACGATCAGCGAAGGTGCACCAATCAACCAGACCCTCAGGCATACCCATTAGTACGATAAGCGTGCCCAGATGGCCCACGAACTCAGTCAAGTGTGAATGCAAGTGTTCCTCCTGTATCCCATGCTTAATGGCGAATTGCATAATTGCGTGTTGTGCTTCTGCAAGGACCTTCGACACGGTCTCCACGCGCTCTGTGTGTCCTAGTGCTTTCTCTGGCGGGGGAAATGCCGTTTGTAGATCCTTAAGCAGCTTTTTGAGGAACTGCTGTAAGTCAGCGTTGAAGTCGTCTTTGCTCCCGTCCTGGGCAGCAGAAGTGGAGAATTGGGCGTGAAGCTCCTGTGCTCCAGAAACGACACGCGCGAGCACTGTCTGGAACTCTTGCAGTTGCTTCGCGGCGTCTGGATAACTCGCTGCAGCACCGTCGATCAGGGCCTCGGTGAACTGCTGTGCAGTGGCGCCAGCCTTCCCAGCAGCATCTGTGATGATGGTACCGATGGAATCGACAGTCGCTAGTCATGAGTTCGTGAGCACCCAAGAGATGGTACCAGAGGCATCTAAAGAACGTACATTTCACATCATTGAAGAAGCCACTATGAAACACGAGGATGAGTTTAGTTTAAAAGCACAAGCTGAGCCAGGAATTCTTTACGGGGATCTCTCAGTATGGGCTCCGTTTTCACTCGAAATAGACGGATCAATATCATCAACAGACACTATGAATAGGAAATGACAGTGAGATATCATGCAGCAAGAATTCCACAGACGTACGCTTCAGATTGTCATAAGCAGCTCTACTGCACTCGAGTTAAAATTCATCGAACCTGCGAGATGCGCATACACAGTTACCTGGAAAGAATCCTGTCCGCTTCCTGTATGATGGACGTGCGCACAGTTTGAACAGATGCTAGGGGAGTGGCACAGCCAACGATGAGACAGGAGATTCGTTGCTAGACAGACATATGAACAGCGTACACACCCTTGACTTGACCCAGAAAGTCTCTGTAGTTTGGTACAGAATGAAGCATGAGTCTACTAGTACCGCCAGATCCTCTTCCAAACTTACCGAGGCATCCCTTCAAGTTGCGCTAGGGTGGTTGCGGCGAGCGTGACCGTCAAGGCGAGCCTCAGAACGAGCCTCATCATGGAACAAAACCTGGTGGGGAGGAAACAAGTCGAGCCGGAGCCAGACGGCGTTGCGTCCCATTTTGTATTCGATACAATATTAAGGTTCCGTCAAGTTGATGCAATTTTTTCGGACGCCCACCGCTGTCCGAGTCACCCGCCATGCCCATCGTGGCAAGCGGGAAGAGACACTACCGTGGTCTACCTAATGAAGCACGACTAACATATAAGAGCGCCTGCTAGACATCACGTAACAGCCGTAGAATTGACTCATGTCAAGCGACATCGTTCCGATAACACTGCCCCCGACATAATGCACATGTACAAATATGTCGATCCTTCTCAATGGAACGCTGGTAGTACCATGCTACAGCCCCGGCTTCATCCCGACGCGCTGTAGAATTGCGTACCAGCATCCCTCGCTAAAGGCTGCTGCACCGAAGAACCTTCTTGTCCCCACGCAGCGAAGAATCGCGCTCACGCGTGAGGCCGGATCCGGGGTAGTATGGGCACGCAAGCACAAACCAAATTAGACAGTCAGCCGAACGCACCTTTAACAGGACCAAATGGCTTAGAGTCCAAAGTGCGCGAGATTGGAATGATGGTTGCTTGAGGGAGTAACGCAAGTACTGCCGCAAGCACTAGCTCAAGATAATCGAGTGTTATTCAGCGGTATACCTTGCTTTCCGTGCGGCGATTGTGCAAGATGTCACTCGACTTGTGGTTAGGGAATCCGAAACAGCAAAAAGAGTCTGCAATGGGAGGGTAAGTATGATAGTGCAAGGTTTGGTCGCCTGAAGTTCGCACTATGCGCTATTTATTTCGCTAGACAACAGTTAATTGTCGCGATATAGGGCCGTGGATGAGCCATATACCCATGTATGAGCTTGATCTTTCTATGCTCTAAATACACCCTTTAGCTGAGGGTCCCACAATCCCACAAGGTCCAGACATACCTGCCGGACGCGGCGCTATTAGTCTTATCAAAAATAGTCCTACGTGTCATGATAGGGTCAGTCCAGCGTGAAGAGGGAAGAGTCGCACAATTCCAACGTCATCCCTGCGCGAGACGGTTCTAGAAACATGATCATTGCAGAAGGGTGACACTGGCACGACACTACCCACTCTAACTGTAGTCAGATGTAAACTCACTGGGAAATTCGTCTCTGGCTTGCTGTACCATACTAAATCGCTGTGAGAAAGCCATTCGACATGCCCGTCGATGTCACGGTGTTTGTGGCTGACCGAGCGCTAGACGGGCATTTCAGCCCCTGTTTCCACACATTTAAGTTACGACTGGCATTGTCCACGCGGCCATTTGTAACACATTTGCCAGATCTTAAATAACGTTTCATATTCAATCTGAAGCTTCAGGCTTCAAGCCTCGAATTTTATTTTATAATCTCCCAAGTTGGAATCTCAGTAAGTATGGAATATAGACCTAGCGGCAAAAAAAATCCCGTATTTACACCACTACGTGCCATCGACAAAGTCACTTACTCATGGTCCAGAGCACCGACTTGAAGTCAAGAAATTGAACGTATCGAGCAGCACGCTAAAAACACAAAACTAAACGCCATCATCCCGGTGGAAAAACATGTCCAGCCGATACAGTCTGGTGGTGTATGCATCTAGTTTCAGAAGAACGGCGATCCCGGTGCACTGTTCTGCGGGACGGGAATATCAAGACTGTCGTCTGTTGAGTGAACGTGGGGATGAGATGTCATCTCTATGGCCAGTACACCAAAAACTTAGCAGACATACCCAGTGCAAGATGATCAAAGAGATCTCTGCGAATCAACAATATAGGTAAGCAATAATATAAGTAGGTATCTAACACCGAAAAGACTGACTCGGGGAACGCTTGTCTCGCCTGTCTTGCACGAGCGATGGCCACAGATGAGCCGACGTCATGCGCGATGGCTGTGTGGGCGGTTCCGCGTGGTTAACAATATTTTCTACTACTGACAAGGCCTGCACCTAGTGGACGTACTTTTCAAATCGTGGAGGACGTCCCTGTAGAATGCAGACGTGAGTCTGTGCGCAATGGATGCGTGGATGCTGACAGTGAACTGACCTTGGTACCCTGACAGTTGCAGGTTTTATGGCTACAACAATGCTCGCCAAAAGCATAGGGGCAAACCATGCAAAACGCATTGTTTAGTAATGGGAATGTTCAGAAAAAGAACGAGCGAATATAAGGAGAGCAACGACGAGGGAACGAAAGCAAGAGTTGGACTTGTTGCTGGACTGCATACCGGATCGACATACTTATAGTATTCAGCGCAGGACCACTCGTTGCATAAGGTTCAGTCACTTGTGGTCGTCTTTCAGACGCCCGTCGTCTGCTTCGCATAAAATGCAGGCACGCTGCCATTTCGGGTAGATCATACCTTCAGCTTCTACCATGAGGGTAACCACAGCGGCGACCAGCTGGTTGACATTAGGATTTGTGACTCTTGTTGCGATACCAACACAAGTGGTTGCATTACCGTCGTTAGATCTCACGACCGCAACGTGAGTGGTTTTCTAGTTCTGTTGCGAGCTATGTCCGACACGTCCTGCAGAACATATATCAGCCAACTTCGATGTATGGTTTTCTAAGCACAGCATGCATGTATAATTCTTGCGCTGATACTTCCATTCAGTGTTCGCGCAGGATTCGCTTACATCTGTGTACACGAACTATGAAGACGACGCCACGACGCTTCCCGCAGACCTCCTGGAGCGTATCATCAATTTTGGCGGGCAAGCACAGCGTTATGCAGAGCGGCTAATTGAGTCGACTATCACAGAAAACGCAGCGCCGGTTGCCAGCCAGGTCCGCCGCGTCCGCAATGTGCTACACGATGCCATTAGTGCCGCGCATGCTCTAGAGCTCGACCTTCGCGACACGGCCACTGGGCTTCTGGCGTCTTCGAATAGTCATTCTCCTGTGTCCGACGAAGCGGTCGTAGACAAAGTGCACACGGAAGGCCTACAGGACCTCAAAAACGGTCTCGAACGGGAGCTCATGAAGCTCTTCGACGAACTCAAGGCTGAGTTCCCACCACCAGATCACGCCCCGAGCCACGAGGAGCGCGCAGGCAATATTACTGCCGTGTTGAAGCGAGCAGAAGATGTTATTGTGCGCTTCAGCGTGGCACGCGGTGTGGACGAGGCTCATCTCCGCGCACACCTCGACGGCCTACTTCCACACGTGGCGGTCATTCTGGTCACGACTGGTAAGCGTCTCGCGAGTCGCCTGTCTGCGCATTGCAGAGCTATAGCACAATGATCTCTGACGATCCACAACAGGAGACCTCGCGGAGCAACACCCAATCCTGCTCGAAACCCTCATAATCTCTAGCACATTGCTCATCGTTCCTGAATCTTGGTTCCTCCGCCCTGTCCTTGGCCTTTTCGGCTTCGGACCAGCAGGCCCCGTCAAAGGTAAGCTCGAGAGAAGAACGACGTCGTACTGGGTACTGACACAGAAATGTTCGACATTGACCACGTACCTCCAGGATCCGCGGCAGCATGGGCACAGCGTCGCTTCTATGGAGCAGTGGTAACAAAAGGAAGTTGGTTCGCACACTTGCAAAGGGCGGGTATGAAGTTCATATCAGGACCTGCGAAGAAGACAATTTTTGGTGCCATCGGAGCTGGACTAGGGCTTTCCGCAGGGATATTGAGATCGTGTGGTCGGTGAACGGCAAATCTCGGTAGTCCAACCAATTTGGAGTGCTCGCAAATCGTGATTTGATTTTAGCATGTCTGAAGATCTTGTTACATAGCAGACACGTACCAACATCGCAAGACGATAAGTACCTTGCATAGATCGTACACCTCCACCATAAACATAGTAAGCAGAGGCATAAATCGAAAACATTAGAGTCTTCCCATCCGGGTAAACTTGCGCTTACTGACCTCAATGCTTCCCAGAGCGCGCTATGTGGCTCTGATCCTCCTGTCAATCTCATTGTGAGAGCAGTGACAGGGTATTTTATGTACGCGATCTCGGTGATTGAGTGTCTCGTCGTGCTGCCAACTCAAGGGGTCGCACTGCTGCATCTATCACGAGTGGTTCTGCAATCTGCCGTACACCATATCAGACACGTCCTCTATGTCAGTGTCTTCTATAGTACAGCTAGCATAACTGGATCTCACAGCTGATATCCCTCCAGTGAGAGCATTCCTCGCTCGAAATTTCTTCGAGATTGTATGTCTCTTCACCTTCGATTACAATGACGCCACGACCAGGTTGCTTGGACTACGTCGTCAACTCGAGCAGATAAGTACAGTGTTATGCGAAATATCTGTATGAGTGGGTCGTTGAACACTGGGGACCACCCTTCGCCAGTCAGATTCGCTGCATCCACAGCGTTCTGTGCCGGACACCATTGCCGACACCACGCACAATATCCCACGAATCTGCTGCCAATGTCGTCGACATTGCCCTCTGTACGCCCGACCTGCTACTCGTGGGCGAAACAGATGCCGGGACTTTTCAGGACCTCATGGATAATCCTGAACAGGAGCGCACGAACCAGTTCAGCAAACTCGAGGCTGAGCTGCCCCTGCACGACCATGCCTTGAGCCACGAGGAACGCGCAGACAAGATCTCTGGCGCAAGTGGGAGATGTCTCCACGCGCACCTTGACGAGCTCCTTCGATCCATTTGACGAACTTTAACATCGACTGCAGTACGCACACCGTTCTTGATCCATCAAAGGCAAGAGCGCTATTACTGGTCTCGTCCGCAGCAGCACCGGAGCCGTTCAAGTGCCGTTATAGCTGTGTCCACGACTCATCATTGGATGGTGAGGTGGATTAGCAGAAAAAAAAGGAGACATCAGATATCTAACCCGTCTAGAAAACCCTCGTACTCCGTTGCTCCCGGCGCATGCCTTGGGCCTTAATGTCCTGGAGCGAAAATGAAGGGACACTAGGAGTTTTCCTAATCATTATACACTGTAGATTGTTTCCCGCTGTGAGCACAGGCCTGACAAATCGAACACAATAGAATTGTACCTAATGCAATCGTTAGAAGATTGCGTTTGTCAGAGGGTGGAATGTCCGATGAAGCAACTGGGCCAGGATGGGACTGGAGGTAGCATTTTGTATCACGATCTATCACGCTGTGATTGACCTATGCCTATGAAGACCAATGACTTGTAAGTACTGTCAACAGCCTGAGAATACGTCAAGATGGGCCGCTGGGCGTCGTTGCTAGGTAAGCAGACAGACTCTGGATGGTATTCAGGGCTTCAGATGACTTCCTGTGGCTGGTTGGCTGTGAATGCTGCCACGAACGAGGGTCTCTTCCGAGGCAGCCAGAAGTCGTGCACAGCGCCATAACCTCATGCTTGCGGAGATTACTAGAGGCGAGATCAAACTTCAATTCCTCGTTCGTTGCTAATTAGAGCAGCCCTCGTTGGAAAGTCGTGTTCGAAAGATGCAGATGGGCTGTTCAGAGTACAGCTTATCATATAAGGTAAAGGACAAGTGCAAGTTCTGAGACTCCACAGATCTAGAGCCGAAGGCTCAACATTCAACGCTCAGCAACGGAGGCAGTGTTTTTCACCAAGTACACCAGCCCTCATGATCAAGCCCGTCCTTTGTATTTTGGCTGGGGTCATTTGAGCTACGATAGACGAGACGTTTGGCATTGAAGGGCGAATACAAAGCGAGAGAAGGAAGATAAATAAAGCAGACTCAACAAAAGCGAGACACGCGAGACGGGGCCGCGTGGGAGGATCAACGGCACCGTCGTTGTGGCCGAGCCGCGACCCAAAAACTGCGCTCTCTGCTTTCCTTTCTTCATCCACGACCACCATCTCCCATTCTCCCCGTCTCTCGTTCAAAAGCACTGTCTTTAATCTCCCTTCCCTCACCGTCCATCATGATCCGCTCTACTCTCGCGTTCTCCCTCCTTGCTCTCCCGCTCACCGCATTCGGCCTTCACCAGGAAAATTCGTTCCGCCGCCGCCACTCGGGTGTCGCTCACAGCCCTGCCTTCATGCGTCGTTCCACAAACTACACACTCCAACAGAAGTACATTGGCGAGGACTTTCTGTATGTTGAAGTGACATGTCATCGCTCACCGTATTCGTGATTGACTCGGAGTCGTCAGCAACTGGGACTTCTTTGACGAGGCCGATCCCACAGATGGGCTTGTTCAATACTTGAACGCCACTGCCGCTATCGATGCTGGTCTGGCTACTGTGGACTGCAACAACGTAACCACTCTTGCTGTGGATAGCACGGAGAGTGTAGTGTCCGGCGGACTCCGCAAGTCGTGAGTGCTTGCAGCAGCATTCATATCAGAGCAGTCGTTCTCATGAGAAGTGTCCAGTGTCCGTATCAGCTCCCCCGAGACCTACAACAGTGGTCTGTTCATCGCTGACTTTGAGCACATGCCCTTTGGTTGTGGTGTTTGGCCTGCCTACTGGTCTGTCAGTACCACCGCGGAGTGGCCCACCGGCGGTGAGATCGACATCATCGGTGAGCTGAATTGCCATATAATCTTTCTTGCGCTCTAATTGTGAGTCCGTAGAGGGTGTCAACTTGAATCCTGAAAACCAGATCACATTGCATTCTGGCCCAGGCTGCACGCTGAACAACTCGCAGCCAACGACGAGCAACCAGGGCGGCATAGAATGTACGTCTTCTGCGGACGCGGACTCTGGTTGCTTCTTCACGCAGACCACGCCTACTTCGTTCGGCGCGGGCTTCAACAACGCGTCTGGTGGCGTGTTCGCACACTTGTGGAACACTGACGGTATTACCGTTTGGTTCTTTTCCCGCCCCCAGATTCCCAACGACATCGCAAGCGGCAACCCCGACCCGTCCACCTGGGGCACGCCCGCTGCCATCTTCCCGGACACCGGGTGCAACATCACGTCTCACTTCTATGACCACACGATCGTCTTCGACACCACGATCTGCGGTGGCTGGGCCACGTCTGCCTACCCGTCCACCTGCCCCGGCACGTCCTGCAGCGACATCGTCTCGAACGCGACCAACTTTGAGAGTATGTCCTTTTCCGTGTATATGTCATGTTTTATGTTCCGCTGATCCCATTCCTTGCAGACGCGTACTGGAAAATCAACTCCCTCTCCGTCTACCAGTAAACTGTTTGCATCGTGACATCTTTGCTCATATGCCTTCACGACAAGCCTCACATAGACCTCGTTTCACGCTATCATAGCTTCGCATACCCTGACCGCGGACAACACTTACACGTACACATACTCGACCTATGATTTCTCGTTCGTTTCGTCGCTGACGCCGACTGCGGTCGGCCGGGAGCCTGGTGCACTCGCGTTTGGCGATATCTGATGTCCATAGCATTACGCGCTCGGGTCTCCTCGGTAGTTCTTTGCTTTGGGCTGTTGGTGCGCGGCGGGCCCCTCACAATCATGTTCGGCGCCGGTGTCGATAGTAATCCTTATGTTTGCGCTTTCTCGCGACTGCGCGTGCGGAAAGTATATCTTCATTGATACGGTGGGCTTGCATGAAGATCGTGATCGTCTTGCGGCTGTTGCAAGGACAACAGAGCGAAAATGCCTCTGGTGATGGCTTCGGAGCCGCCCCCGAGTTCGGATCCGCATTCAACCTGAGACAATCCTGTCGTGTATCGATACATAGTGGTTGTTACAAATGCTCGTTCCGGTTCAACTAGCGGCGGCTATACACGAAACACGTTCAGCTTACAATCCCATCCACAACTTGCGAGTATGCCTTCGTCATATAACGACCAGCCGCAACCCACCACAAACTCCGTATGGGGGTCGTGAATATACATCAAGTGCGTTCCCGCCGCAGTGGGCGTCGTCGACCACCTACAAATCCCGCCCCGCGTGTCAGCCAGGCCCCGACGACAGACTGGACACTCACACTCTGCACGTCATGTCGTAGCTCGCAGTAGCCAGCACGTCTGGGCGGTGCGGGCTCCACTGCACCTTGCGCACGGCGTACTCGTGCCCGACGAGCGATGCCTCGCACTGGCCGCCGACCGCAGGCCCGACGTCCGCGCCCCCACCGAGTTTGACCATGCGGCAGTCCCACACGCGCGCAGCCTTGTCGACGCCAGCGCTCGCGAGAACGAGCGGGCGGTACTTGTTCCAGTCGAGCGAGAGCACCTCTGTCCCGGACGCGGGCACTGTGAGCGCGGCGGCGCTCAGTGGGTGCGTGAAGCTGTTCCCCGCCGCGGAGGGCGCATAGGCAGGGGCGCGCAGATCGAAGAGCTTCAGCGTGCCGTCTGTAGAGCAGGTCGCGATCACATCGGGCTGGTGCGGGGAGAAGAGGGCCTGGTAAACGCAGGATTGGTGTGCTTGGAGAGTTGTGATTGAATGTGGGCGCTCTGGGGACCACTGGAGTACGGTTAGCACTGCGGAAGTGATAGGGACGAGATAGAGGCAAGTGAAACAGACGATTGCGTTGGACAGTCAAATGACTGCTAGATGCAATGCTTGGGCCAGCTCGCAAGACACAAATGGGGTAGCTCACCAGTTTGACAGTGCCGTCCCAAGACGACGAAACAAAGAGGTCCTTTTGGAGATTGGACCAGTCTACGGAAAAGACCTCGCGCGTGTGCTCTTGCCAGGCACGGATGGGCAGATCCTAGATGTTCTTGCAGACTTGTCAGCTTCAGTGGACGCGAGCGGATCGGCTAGGGGCCTACGTTGAGCATGATGTCCCACAGTCTGATGGAGCCGTCGCCCGAGGCGGTGACGAGCTGATTCTCGTGGATCTCAGACCACGCTGCATCATACAACCCGTCCTGCGTGTCATAGCTACTCTGCTCAGCGATGGAGACGTCGATGCCGTGTCTAGATGACTTACAATTTTTCAAGCGAGAGCCCAGGGAGACCGCCGGGCCCGGGGCCGAGGGAGATGAGGTGGAGTCTGCCGTTGCCGACGAGGCCGTAGTTGGCGGCGGATGCGAGAGCGAGGCGGTTGCTGTGGAAGGGAGACCAGGCGAGGGCGTAATGGGCGAAGCCGGGAGTGTGGAGGCCCGACGGCGGGGGCCTGTTCATCGCGACAGACGGCGGCGAGTGAGGGCGGGGTTCGAGAGGGGAGGGCGGGGAACGTCGCGGGGCAAGACGTCGCCGCGGCTCTGCGCGCGTGATCGGTTATTGATTGCCACATGCGTGTCTCTGTCCCCTCCATCCCCGACGCCCTCCTCCGCGCTGCGGCGGCATCCTCGTCGCCCCCAACGTCCCTCACAGCGGCCACCGCGCGTATTGCCCGCTTTCTCGCCCCCGGAAACGTTGCCGTTGTAACTGGCGCAGGAGTCAGCGTCGACTCAGGCATCAGGGCCTATCGCGGCGCGAAGGGGAGGTATCTGAATCCAAATTACAAGTGCGCACACCCGTCCGTTCCCCATCTCATACCAGAGCGGCTGACGGAAATTGACTGCTGCAGGCCCATCTTCGTACGTGCATGCTTGCATAGTAGACCATGTTGAATTAATGGCAGCCGCCAGTATCATGAACTCATGGATGCATCCCCCAAGGGCGCCGCGTTCAGGTTAGTGGCCTCTCCCCTTCCTTATCTGCATCCTGACACACACACAGGCGGCGGTACTGGTAATCTTCCTTCGCCTTTCACCTTTTCACGCAACTTGATCCACTTCCAGGCTTCGTTCATACCTCGGATACCCACCCGTCCGCGATGCATTACCCAACACCACCCATTATGCACTGGCCGCTTTGCAATATGCTTCCGTAGTTCCCAAACTCATCACCCAGAACGTCGACGGACTCCACCACAAGGCTCTCGCACACGTCTGGGACGAGCCTCGTTCAGAACGCGGCATTCTCGAGCTGCATGGGCGGCTACGCGTAAGCCACCATCCGCCGCTTCATCGCCATTCCCTGCTTATTCCCACCCAGGCCGTACGCTGCGTTCATGGCCACCTCACGGACAGGGACACGTTCCAGCAGTATCTGTCCGCTGCGAATCCACAGTGGAAGGCATTCGCCGACGAGCTCGAAGCAACGGGCCAGCAACCCCGAACAAATCCTGATGGTGACGTACGCCGCCTCCACTCTATCGTTCCGTCCCACAAGCCCCGCTCAATCCCTCCGTCTTCGGCCTGTTACAGGTCGTCCTCGAAGGTGTCCAATACGACGACTTTACCGTCCCCGACTGCCCCGAGTGTCACGCTGAGCACCGAGTGAATAATATCGTACGTCCCACAGACTACCACCCCTCCTCCCAGGCCCCACTCACACTCCGTGCGCTCGCACAGCACAAGCCGGAAGTGATATTTTTCGGCGAATCTATCACCAAGGACGTTCGCGACCGCTCGTAAGCACCAGCGCCCCTGTATTTGTCATGCGCGGGCGGGCAGTGTCCTGATGATGGCCCGGGCAGGTTCCACGACATCGAGAGCTGCGACAGACTCTTCCTGGTCGGGACCACGCTCGCGACCTTCTCGGCGTTCAGGTACGTGTGCGCGTGGCCCGCCTGCCGTGCCCTTCGGCCGGGCTGCGCGCGGTCCGCCTCAGTGACACTGGCGCTGACGACCATGCGGCCAGGCTGCTCAAGCACGCGCTCGACTGGCGCAAGCCCGTGCTGCTACTCAATGTGGGCCCGAGTCGTGCAGACGCGCTGCCAGGCGTCGAGAAGATCGAGGTCGCGAGCGGCGCGGTGATGCGGGATGTCGTGCGAACAGTGTTGTGAGCCATTTCCCCCCATGAAATTGCGCTGGGGGCTGCCGCTGATCTCCCCCCTTTTTGGTCGTCGTTAGAGGCACCAGCTCGCTCCGGGATCCCGTCATCGCAGACATGCTTCAGTGGGGCATCGTCAAGCCCCCACCAGAAGATGAAAATGAGATTGCACCCAGGGCCGTGGGATAGGATAGTGTCAAAGCTGGCAGCTCTGCTCAGTGGGTGACGCCGGGAATGGTGATAAATTGGGTAGATTCAGGATGTAGAATTACACTATATAGTCGATGAATTATTGATGCGTTCTAGTGTGACATGATGCGAATCCGACGTGTGGGTACCGAGTACGGTGGTATGCAATGTGACAACATGGTACAGGAGGGATGTAGCTCCCTGAATATCCTATAATAAGATGCTACAGAGAGAGCATTAACAGGGAATAATGATGCGAGAATCGCGAGACCGGTGATAAACAATACGGCGGGAGATAGGTACAGCGGCAAAGCAAGAGATAGCAATTAGATGTGCGCGGGTGGGTTAGAGGGGGACACGGCATTAGATGATAGATATTAGCTGTACCCCACGGAGGGGGCGCGCGATGGTACGGGATGTGTGGGTAAGACCTGCCGGCGAGGTGGGGGATCGCTCCGGGCATCGGAAACGAGCACAAGAGTGTAATCATCGTCACTGTCATCCGACATATCGGAACTCTGGTGGTTGACCAGAAATGGGGGCTTCAGTTTCGCCCAAGTCCACGCGCGCCAGCTGTCGAGCAGCGAGGGCGGAAGATCGCGTGGGAGGCGTCGACGTGTGCGTAGAAGATATTCCTCAAAGGTGGGGCCGGGATCTCGGAGGAGAACAGAGGGAACAGCGGAGGGAAGGTCTTCACAGGACGAAAGCGGAGAGGGGATATCCCCATTCGAGGCCAGCCCACGATCCGATGATGGAGGTGGCGTAAGGGGACTTAAGGGACTCGGTGGGGTGCGGGGGCTGGCCGTCCTCCGCCTCCGGGGCGGTGTTCGAGCGAGCTTCACATCGGAGGTGCAAGTCAGTACCTATGTGTACCAGAGCTCATGAGTGTGGCTGGACGGAGTTTGACACGGTGCGCGACCTACGGCGAGATTTGTCTCCTTGAGCTCGAGAACCTCCTTCTCTGATCGCTTAACGCAGCGCGAGCGATGTTTCTGCCAATGTGCGGGATCCCACGCCATCTTTGTAGACAGCTTGATCATCCTCTCGCAGCGAGAACATTGGACAAGCTGGGGGCTATGGATAACGACGATGGGGTCTTGTCGCAGCTTTGCTTCCCTCGCCTTCTCTGCGGGGGTAAATTCGCGCGGCTCGCTCATTCTAAGAATGGGGGATGAGTATCAAGCGGGACAAGCGGACAAGACCAACCACACCCTGCGCAACTGCGGGCAGTCACCGCGCCACGTTCGCTTATTATATTCTCTTCGGCCCGATGTGGCCCCAGCGAAGATATCCACGCCCCGCCGTATCTTGGGCCGCCAAGGGGGCGTCGGTTTCACAAGAGTCCCTAGAAAGAGGAACGCGTTAACGGGGAGACTTGTATCCGAGTCCGGCGCGCCTCACCGCTGAGCGCTAGGAATCAGAGAGGCGGGACCGCGATGCCCCCGCGTTATTTCTGAAACATGACGGGGCCATCAGTACCCTTAGCCGGCGGACGCAGAAGGGAATGGAAGGGGGCGAACCTGTTGTCCCTCTGAGGTGTCCGACGACCCTGCAAGTCCTTGAGTGACCGCGACGCGGAGAACGTGTAAACCGCCCACACCCACCTCTGAATCCTCGTGCCCCGCTGACAATACGAAGTCGAAAAGTCTGCCAGAGAGTTAATGTCAACGTGAGCCAAAACACTTTTAGGCGCGGCCAGATAACACTCACCGCACAGAAAGACTCAAAAAAATCTACAAACGCCTGTACTTGTGCGAAAGAGATTAAAGAGAAGAGGGGAAAAAATCAAGACGAAGACAAGGGACAAGGGACGGTGGAGGCCGGCACAGTCCGCGCCGAGGGAGCGGGCCCTTGGCGCGCGTTTGTCTATCATTGGCTATCAGGTGCCACCTCCCCGTTAATCTTTCCACAGGCCACGCTTCGCGGAAGCAAAAACTTTATACTCTATTAATACGCGCCGACTAAGCAAGAATCGTATCGCACAGAAACAAGCAAGCAAAGCAAGTGAGCAAACAACGACAGGGGACAGGGGCCGGGACGGTGTAAGGGGAAGAAGAAAATTGTCAGGGAGTGTGGGATCACAGCAACGGACTATCCTATATAAATGGGGCGGAGCGAGGAACAAGGGAGCCTACTAGTACCAAGAGAAATGATCGGATATCAGTTTGGGAAAGGAACGTAACACCAATCAACTAGAAGACATCCCTTCCCGAAACCCGCGGACGAACGAACGGAACGGGAGGACGAGCCAGTCGAGGAAACCAGGCGAATCTCCCTCCGGGACTTCATACAATTCCGTGCGCGGGCGAACGACGCGTGTCGTTTCCTCGCCATCGTCCTCACGCCCTCTCTTTTGACTCGCCCGCGAGGGAGAGGAATCTGACCCAATAACAGTCGCGTCTGTCGACGCTGCCGACGCGGGGGGTCTCGCAGGAACGGAATCTATGGTCGGATGTACTGCAGTCGACGTCGACGGTACAGCCTTGGGGGATAGAGGATCCGCCGCATAGGCTTGCAGTGAGGCAAAACTATTGCTGCGTTCAGGAAGTCTGGGAGCGGGTCTGAGGGCGCATCAATCGGCAAGTCAGCATCGGCGCGCAGAAATGCTAACAAACTGACATGGTGCAGGTAGCCTTGTGCTCCTCCCAGAGGGCGAGATCGTAATCAATTTCCCCCCTGACGGACACTTCCAATCGGCACACCGTGCATTCCGCACTTTGATCAGTCAGCTTCTTCACTTGAGGGTCATTGACAAGCTTGAGTTTCCTCTGGGCCATCGCGATGCGATTACTGGGCCGTTCCTTCGAGGCTCTTTCCAGTATCGACGTAGGTTTCTCAGGAGTAGCGACAGAGATATTGTCATCCTCCGTTCCAATTTCAGATTTTGCATCCAGCTTTACTTCTGGTTTGTGTTCTAGGACTTCGGATCTAGGGGGACGTAGTTTAGAGCCAGTAGCAATAATACAAGATGGATGGTTTACTTGACTGATCGACCTCGTTGTTTGCTACATGCTTTACGGTGATTAATCCAATTTTGCATGACATATCTCCGCTTGTGGTTTAGATCAATCCATTCCTGACATCCCATGCAAAACATACGATGGGGCTCCACGTCGCCGGAGAGCTCGTCACTTTGCAAAAATTCCATGCGTTCTGTTTCGGTTTTCCGCACCCTGGTCTTGGAGGATTCGCCAATAGATGAACGGTCATCACCAATGCTATCATCGGGTGATGGTCTCCTAAAAATCACTTTTGTGACCAGACACAAGCGACGAAAGCGAACGGTCGTACTCAGGTGACTTTGGGACATGGTTATGCACAGACGTATCATTCACGCTAGGCGTATCCGATACGTTGTTACCGTTCTCAATGGCGTTTGAAACGACGGAGGATGCGCGTGAATGGCTAGACCGTTTCGCCCTATTTGCTGGCTTGCTGGGGACAGGAGAATTCTCAGAGTGGTTCCGTGAGCGAGGAGAAGGACCCGGTAAGCTGACGAACATGACAAGAGATGTTAATCGTGAATATATTGACTAGGAAAAAGTCTTACACTACTTCGACCTTCTTAGGCTCTTGCTTCTCACTGGCCGCCTAACAGTAGGTTAGCGGACACACAAAAAGCGCAAGATTGATTTTTCCAATGTTGAACGTCACATTCAAATAGAGCTTCATTTGCTTGGACTCATGCATAACACGAGCCCGAGGGAGCATGTCAAAACTCCCCACCGTTAGGTCACTACATCGAACCAAAAGTTGAACGAAGAGGATACACCTCGTCCGTGATGAGCTACCTGCGATAGTGTATCGATACAAAAACACGAAGGATGGGGATACAAGGGCTGCCCGTCGCGCCCTTGTGCCATCTCGCTGAACTGTGGACACAACGCCCATCGGGGGCCCGGGTACGAATATATCAAGTCTGCACCTGTTCACACCAGAGCTGGCCATGCATGGTCACAAATGACCCCACTAGGATACATAACGTCCAGGGTTCAAAGGTGTAAATCACATACCTCGTCCTTTGAATCGTCCTCGTTTGGACTATCCTGAGCCTCCTGAGCCTCCTTTTCTTCAGATTCATCCTCCTGTGCATCATCTCCATCGGAATCTCTTCAGGGGGATGTAAGCATCTTGCGGCATCTGCGACACAGAATTACAACTAACTCAGTATAATCGACGCGAGCGCTTCCTCTCCTTGCCTATGATCAGAGGATGAGAGCTAACTGTAGAATGAATAACGAGGTGTAACTCACTCTACGGCGCGTAGAGTATGTGACTTTAACTGGTTTAGACCTGCGAACGACGGTCAATGCCACGGAAACGATGCCGGATCGTGGATAGCGGTACCAACCGTGATGGGGATGACAGACTATCATCCATGGCGTAGGTATTGAGCTGAGCAACTGTCGCTTGCTCAACGGCGGGGAGGGAAAACGAGGGAATAGCGCGATATCGCAGTAAGGCGGGGTCAGTTACACCGTAAGTGAAGCCTGCCAAGTGAGGAATGCTCGTCCGGCCACACGTGCTGTTTGGCTTCCCACGTGGTATCGAGCGCCTATTGCACCGGGGAGCTTGAAGGTTCAACGAGGTGACGGCCCGTCGATAGTTGCAATGAGTATCGCTGAAATAACCTAACCCAAGGGTATGTGTTTTAGGATCGCAAGGAATACAACGCTTAGTGATATCTAGATCAAAACCTATCATCTAGTGGCTATATCATGACCGACCCCGAGGACCTCCTTTCCGAATCTTTACAGACTCTGTATGACTACTCACCCGTGGCATATTCGTCGGCGGGGTCCTCTTTCACATATACGTACTATGGACCTCTCTTATTACATCCACCTTCGTCCGACATAAGGCCGGGGCCGCCAACTGACCGTTCTCTGACCATTATACTCAAAACCCCAGATACACAACCCGCGAATTGGTCTCTACACGCTTCTTCCGTCTGGATGGCATCAATTTTCGTGGCAGACCATTTACAAGACCTGTTTCTGGACCGTCGTATACGCGCCGCCCGAGACGATAGGCGCACTCTACGCGTATTGGAACTAGGTGCTGGAGCTGGACTGCCTGGCATATTGATCGCGAAATGTTACGACGACATCGAGGTCATATCGAGCGATTATCCGGATGAAAGTCTCATCGAAGCTTTAGAAGATAACATTGTGCAAAATCGTGTCAGCGATCGATGCCGCGCTGTTCCATACGCTTGGGGCACAGATCCTGCTCCCCTCCTGACCACACCAAAGATCCCGGATTCACGCCAGTCGCATGAGTTCGATGTTATAATTGCCGCGGATACATTGTGGAACCCAGACTTGCACTCCATATTTCTGAAGACCCTCTGTATGACGCTGAGGAAATCACTGAATGCTCGAATATATCTTGTCGCCGGCCTTCACACGGGGAGATATGCCATCCAAGCATTTCTCAGGGATATTGTAGATGCTGGGCTTAAGATAGAAGAGCTGTTAGAAAAGGAAGCTAATGGATCTGACCAACGCGACTGGTGTGCCGAGAGGGCGGGAGAGACGGAGCAGGACCGGCGACGCTGGGTTATATGGGTAGTCCTGAGATGGGTCTAGTCGATTCAATTGCTGGAATGTAGTTCAAGTAACATGTAAATGTAAGTATAGTATTATCTGGAGCTACTTTTGTCTTTCGTGACCGCTCTGCATTTACTGCTCTTCACACAGCAAGACAAGGCCGAACTAATAGACCTACCATTTCTGGCCAATAGTGTGGTTTGTAAGCAATCTCGATCACCAAGCCGGCTGCACGCAAGGGCCCACCAAAGCGCCCATTGCTCGTCTACCACCACCACCTGTTTCCCTTTACGATATACCATGGTTTGTAAGAAATGCGAGACTGTACGTGCTATTTTTAATCGGGGCTCAGTGTCGTGCTCATACAACTGTGCGAGTAGAAACTGTCCAAGTTGGCTGCTCCGGATCCATTCACCTCTAGCTCACAGAGTATCAAGGATGGCTCACGCAAAGTCGGGGAGAACAAGCTGCTGTCGAGGCCCGGGAGCTCTAAGAACAGGTTTCAGGTGCGCTTAAATGTTCACAGAGTGGCCCACTGCTCTGACTGACACGGGTAGGCAGCCGTATCAAGGAAAATGTAAAGACTGTAAATCAAGCGTCACGCAAAACAGAGCGAAGTATTGCCATGGTATGTTTCGTATACCGCTTTGTTACTTTCGCGACGTTTCATTCTCATCCGTGTAGGTTGCGCATATAAGCGGGGCGTATGCTCGATTTGTGGCAAGCAAGTCCTAGACACTACTGGCTATGTGATGTCGTCGAAGTAATGTGGCTTGTGTGTACGGTGCTTTCGGTCTGTAACAACGTGTATTCGTCGTGTGTGCCTATCATTATTAGTTTTCCAAATTTTATCAGAATAAATCTCATTAACTGAATGTGTCAATTGCGTGTTAGTTTTGTGTGTACCGCGAGCTTGCAGAATCCATCCAGTTATCCATTACAACAATATATCTATGTGTACAATGTGAATCGAGATTATCCTATGTGTCGATATGCGCATGTGAATGGGTATAGTATACCAATCCTATATCATAGTTCTTAAAAGCGGAATACGGTCCTGAAAGCAACGAAAGCAATGAGAAAGTACCTAAATCTTCGTCTTCGTCCTCTGTTCGTAGATCTCTACATCTATAGTGTTTGTGCTGAGGAACCGGTAGATGTTGACAAGTCTCGTCTGCCCGAAGCGCCTCAGACGGCCAACGGCTTGAGTCTCGCAAGCGTCGTAAATTTCTTGCGAAGGAGCAAGCAAAGGTGAAAGGAAGATCGCATGGCTTGCAGACGTCAGATTGGCTCCACTTGCACTTTCGTCCATAACATTCAGCAATAGGACGCGCTCGCTGCTGTCGTTTTGGAACTTCTCGAGATTTTTACTCTTCTGCGATGCGGAGCCCTTGATCTCTAGGAACTCGATCCTGTTTGCCTCAAGTGCTTCAGCAACCTTCTTCATCAAGTCCGGAAACTGCACAAAGATGAGTACACGCTCATCGCGGGGGATCTTTTTCCTGTTAGAACAAAGTCTATGCATCAGCAACAGCTAAATTCGCAGCAATCTGAACTCACTTAATCAGGTTGATAACTTGCTCGAGCTTGAGGCCGTAGTGTTTACCGCGTCCATCGCGCGCTTCGTCGTCAACACCTAATGTGTCGCCCTTCACAACGTTGAGGACCCGAGCAGCGGCCTTGCACTTTCCAGAGGCAGCATAAACACATTCCTCTTTCTCCGCGCACTCCATGACGCACTTGAGGCAACCCATATGTCCACATGACGAGAGGACAGCAATTTCGCTGATTGGGACCTCGTCCCGCTCGCACACAGGGCATGAAACGACGGGAGGAACGTCCACTTGCCTTTGCAGATCGCGAACAGCAGTGAAGTAGCGCAAAGATCTTACTCGACCAACCAGCTCCTTAGTCAGACGACGAATCTCATGGGTCTGCTCGCGATGATCCCAAATGAGGTCCTTCGTTTTACTGGGCAGGTTTTCGTCCTTAGACTTGCCCTTGCCTCTATCAGATTGACTGGTTCCCGTTTTCGAGGCAGGAACGTTCGCCTTGTCTAGTAGCGCCTGGACTTCCTCCGTAGCATCTTCGTCCCCAACACCTTCACTCCGTGTGACGCGAACGAACTCCCGGAAGAGCGATTCCTCCTGGACCTTGCCAATCTTCTTCTCCATCGCGACAGCCTCGCCAAGACGTTTCAGCAGCTCGACTTTGCAATTCTCGAGCTGCTTCTTGCGCTCGTCGACAATGACCTCGCATGCCTTCATGGCATTCTCCCTGTTTGAAGTATCGAGCTCGAAATGGGAGCATCGTTTCAGAAGCGCTTCTTCGGCGGTGCTAGTGTAGGCATTTAGAGAGATTTTCAGATTTCACAGCATGGTTCACGTACCCGCTCTCACCAAGGGCCTGAGCTACACGTTTCTCCCGATCACTCTCACTTTTCTTTCCACGCTTGACTGTCATGTCCAAAGCCCGAAGATGGTGCTCGAGTTCCAAGTAAATGGCCCTCTCAGCTGCCGGCAGGATGACCTTCTTGATCTCCGTACTCGACGGAATTTCGTCGATCTCGGCGATGTTCTATAAGTGATGTTAGAACCAGCCATGCGCAAAGGTGATTGCACAGACCTGACGGACAAAATGATTCAGGAAAGCTTGCCCAATATCGTGCCGATGGGCATGCCATTCCAAGCTGTGTACCTCACGGAAGGAGTGGAATTTCTCCACGGCTGTGAAAGGGGTCAACGAAATTACTGTTACTGTCTAAGTCAGCTCACCAGTCTGCTCTCGTCTACGCTTCTTGACTTGCACGGACTGACCCTCACCATCATCGTCGACACCGAGATGGAGATCCAGGAACGCAGAAATGGTCTTAAGGGCCGCAAAATCGTGAATAGGCGGAGTGCCAGAAAGAACCCAATGGCGCTCAGCAGTCAAGTTTGTCACCATAGAATGGATTTTGCCGTCAAGATAAGTATATTCATCGACGACCTTGCGAGAAAAGTGGAACATCTCCAGCGGCGGAGCCTGCATTCGAGTCCAGTCCGACTTGACTGCGCCCGATTTCAGCTTCCAAGGATCAGTATCCTCGCGCTTCTTTTGCTTCTTCACAGGTTTCGCGTCTTCGTCATCAGCTTTACGTTTCCTGGAAGTCTTCTTCGGCTTAGCAGAGTCAGTCTCGTCGACGTCCATAATATCGTCGGAAGAAGTAGTTGCTGACTTCCGGGCAGAAACCTTCGCTTTCGTTTTCGCCTTCGCCTTCGCCTTGGGCTTTGGCGCAGCTTTCTTTCTCGGTCGTTCGTCTTCAGACGCCATCGAGACGTCTGCGATAGACTCGGCTTCTGACTCCGTTTCTTCAGCCGGTGATTCCTCATAGTCAGAAGACTTTGAAACCTTTTTGGAGCGCTTCACATAGACGGCCTTCCTGGTGCTACGCTTTGGCTTGGGGTCATCGTCATCAGGCTCGAAATCGTCGTCAGAGTTATTATTGTCCTCTTCATCATCAGAGAGCATGACGGGGCGGCCTTTTGTCAGCCTGCGTGCGGGAGGTCGTGGAGAATCAGAATCGTCTTCCTCCGCCTGAGTAGTCTCAGCCGCCGACGAAGATGCCACACTGGATGAGATAGACAGGCGTCGTTTCTTTGTGACAGGAATGACGACCTCCATGATAACTCCCGACTTCGGGCTGCTTCTAGAGGAAGTGGCGTTGGAGGCTGACTTAGAAGACTTCAACTTCTTTCCTGGCTCGGAAACCTCCGCAGCATCTCGATAGCTCTTGCCTTTGAGGCGCTTCGTAGGGACGAAGAAGTTATCCTCGTCCTCATCTGCATTGCAGTCCAGTGAGCACGTAACATCGAGAGAGTGAACCGAAACATACCAAGCTCTCGGCCAGTCTTGATCTGCTCCAGCACGGCAGCAGGACCATCATCTCGCAACCGATCTACTTGACCACCAAGGGATTCGAGGACAGTCACCAAGCGAGCGTTGAAGTATCGACCATCCCGAATAGGCAGACTGCCAGCACCAGCAAGCGCCTCTAGATTGGCAAGGTAAACGCTGCTATGGAACAAGTTGGAAGCGACGACGACTATATCGGCCTCTTGGACTGCTTCAATGGTCAACGAATTAAGATTGGTCGCTGTTGAAAGCACGACGACCTTAAAGCGGCTTCCAGTGAACTTCTTGACCTCGGAGTTCCATTGTCTAGTCAAGTGAGGAGGGACGATGACAAGCGTCGCTTTTACCGGAATCTTCCCTGGCATTTCATCCATCTTCTCAAACTCCTTCTTCACGCCCTTCGCCGCACAGTCAATAAGGCCGAGAGTGATGGCGGTTTT